GAGTCACGGCAGGGAGGGGCGTCCCGGTCACGGGGGGACTCTGCACAGGCTGCGCGGGCAGGTGAGAACCACTTTTCTCGCGTCTTTTATCAGACCCGGGGCTGTTCTTTCCCCCAGCACCACCGCCGTTCGAGGGGAAAACCGGCATGCTGCGCCGCCAGCTTCTACGGAATGCAAAGGGCGCGAGGGCTTCTGCTTGATGGTTGGATTTCCCCCCTCGGTAAATGGCGGAAACATTCTCAAAAAAGGCGTCCCAAATGATCTCTCATACAACGCGTCCGCTTCATATTTTTTAATATTCTTAGCTACTTTGAAATATTTTTTATGTTTTCTTCCTATGTTATGTTCACATAAAGTATCTGTTGCAGAGTGCAAAACAGCCTTCACGCGGCAGGAGTTTTACTTACATCGTCAGTATGGGATATAAAATTTTTACATACACGCTTCGGTCTCTTCTTTTAGGAGGTTCAAACTTCCAAACAGCAATTTTTTTCGAAGGTGCAAATTTTAATAAAACCTTCAAATGCCAACAACTTATCAAATGTGGACTCTGGAAACATGCCGTACAAATGCAGAGTAAATAGAAATGTGTTAAAAATAAAGAGTGACGCTGCCTATCTACAGTCTCTTTCTAACTCTATTAGTCCTTAATTTATTGTTACCTCTTTTTATAAATAAGGCTAACTCCTGTGGCTCAGAACAGGCAGGGAACGGCTTGTGATTTAGTATTCAGCTCGAGTCTGATCCTGCAAGTTAAGGGGAAGCTGAGGAAACTTGTCTGGATGCTGACTTGGCCTTCCAGCCCACCTACATAGCTAAAGGAGTACTCTTGTGCAGACTATGCTCTCTTTAGCAAAGGCTGTTGTAGCATATTAATCTATTTTGGTGAATTAGTGGTTGATAATTTGTTATATTCAGTCACTACCCTTTTCCTGTATTTTTAATTCATCTTCCTCCATGATTGCTTGAGCTGCAGCAGGCAGAGGCTTTGATGGCAAGGCCGTTCGTTTCCACTGCATTGGCTGGAAGTAAGAGGGAGTCCATCCCATTCACTCACATTCATTTTGCTTTTTTCCATCTGTTCGGCCATCTCCATAGCATTCACATCAGCAGGGTCCCCCTCATAACTAACAAGTGAGTCTGGTGTGCCAGGATCTTTATCAGTAAGTGTTTCAAATTTTAACCTCTGAAATTATCACAGCAATGCTAAGTTACGATGGAATACCCACCACGTTTCCTGCGCTCTCAGCACAGAAACTACAGTGGAAAAGACTGCCCACGTACTGCACAAGTCTCCCCCCTTCACTGATGCTCAACAGCTTTCAACTTTTCTGGTAGTAATAACCTCTATTCACCACCATTAATTCAAGCCATATACGTTCTTTTCTTACATCACTACCATCAATATTATGCTTTATGGCTCTGTGCACATATTCCAATTATAGGTATTTGGGCCCATGACTCAACACTACGTAACCTGCATGAGAACCCACAGAATATATGGAACTTCCTCTCAGGTAAAGCTTAAAATGCTATACACCCAGTTTATTAATGCAGATACAAAAGGTCTATCAGTATTTAAATAAAGGCTGCAGACAAAATTAATGGCATAAGGAAGTCTACAATTAATTTGTAAAGTTATAAACATTTTGGCTTATACTAGTGTGGTCAGTTGACCTTGGCTGGCAATTTTATTCTCACATAAATCTTTTTGTTTGCAAAACCAAAGATTTTATCCAGATCATGCCCTGGACAAACAGACCTATGCCTAGGTCAGAGAACTAATATTTGGTACAATGGAAGAGAAGGCTAAACAAGAGTTTAAAACAAGATTGTAGTTAAAATGTTGCTACTAATGTTGTAATTCTAAGTAATTTGAACTGAAAAAAAGTTTTAAGAGCCAAAATATAAAATTATAAGGCTGCAGATGAGGGAAAATGTCACATTACAGGTGTACACTAAAGATGTTTCTGTATGAAAGGATTCTTAATGTATTAAGAAAGAAGTTGTTCTTAAAGTACATGTCAAGTTTACCTCCCAAAATGTCTTTTCAGTGGTAGCTTCCCAACATCTTGGATAAAGGCAATCTGAGCTGAGAAAAATAATCACCCATATCATATTGGGTAGATCACAATGCACATAGAATTAAAGACACTGGAAAATAAATAATTCATATGTTTAGTTAAGTGGTCCTGTATGTATTTGCATTGGATACCAAAACAGTTTATATATATTTGAAGTGTTTATCACATTACCATAACATATTTACAGACTGCCTCCACAGAATAGTAAATCCCTATTGTCTGTCAACTCTGTATTTATTATGTAGATTTATTATTACATAGCCTGCAAAAATAATTAATCAGGGTGGTAAAGCCTTAGTTAAGACATAAAGCCTTTTATTAGAAGTAATTAACATAGCATAGGTGACCCAGCTGTCTGAACAGTGATTTTTGGATTACATACACAGTAACCACCTGCTACTGGATTGCCTCACGTTACACAAATTTTTTAAATGCACTTCAAACTTCAGTTTTATTTACTTTATCTGGGAAAGGCTTTTTAGAGCCTTTTCAGGCTGTTGATGTTACTTTAAAAGGATCAGTAAGCAATGAAGATCTATTTAATATAGTCTATGAGATTTCCAGAAGGCTTCTCACCAAGTCCCCTAATGGCTTTTAAAGGAAGCCTTAAGCCTTAAAAGAAGCCTTAAGCCTAAAACAATGACTCAGTAGTAAAGTCTGATAAATAATTAGCAGATAGGAATTTGGGGAGGGGAGTATGAGTTAGCTATTAACTCCTGCAATGGAGGAAAGTTGCCAACACAGTTCTGCAGAGATCAGTGCTAGGACCTGGTCTATCCAGTACATTCCTAAATGTAAACCTGTGAAAAAAGGGGGTTAAGAGTGAGACTAGCAACTTTGCTGGTGATACTGTTAGACAGGCTAGTAAGGATGTGGGCTGTCAGAAGAACTGTGCCAGGACTTCATGAGACTGATGACAGGGCAATAACACGATGAAATTCAACGCACATGGATACCTGAAATCCATGCAGTAAAAAAAGGGAAGAAGGATTTAAAGTACTGCAACATGAGGACCCTGACTTACGTGTTTATAAAGCATCACATATGCCTCACTTCTGGCAAGACAGATACTTGTTTAATTTTTTCAGTTAAATAAGTATTAAAGATGTTCTTGGTGGTGTTTCAAACCTAACAGGAGGGCTTGAATCTTGGCTATGTGACTAGAAACATATTTATGTAACTGCTATATGCATATACCATATGTATTTTTTTTAGGTAGACAAAAGGATAGATAGTATTGACATTTTGGGTTACAAAAATGTATCATTATGTTTACTGATAAAAAAAATCTCAGTGCAAGAGTTACACTGATCTTACCTTGGTTTCTCATAGAGTTTGCAAACATAGCAATAGCTCCATCTTCAAGACACTCTGGTGGTAAACAGAAGCTTGAAAAGAGATTTTTCAGCCAGACAGTTTTCTTGATACTGTAAGAATTGGGGTGGGGGACCAAAACACGACTAAAAAACCTGCTAAACCATAATTAATGTATATATTCTGTACCATAAAAAGCAGCATGATGACTTTAATAACAACTGCACACAAGCTGCTGAAGAATGAGTCCAGAAAAGAGATAAGCAGTTAGAGTTAACATATAGAGATCATAAAAATGGTGAATTCCTTCATTTTTTGCCTTCACTGGATATTAAGGGTTCCTGACAATTTTTATCCTTTGATTACTGTGTGTACAGTGTGTCACTTTTGAAGGAGAGCACACTCTGTAACTGCAGTGACATGATGTGCCCAGAAGATATTCAGGTTACTGTGGAAAGCAACTGAATGAAAAAGCTAGTCCAAGTGCTTTAGGTAAAAGGCATAGGGCCTCTGATACATTTTTAGCAAAAAAATTGTTCTACTTAAAAATACTTTGTGGAATATTTTACAAACACTACAACCCACTATAATAAAATGCTGACAGAAGTTGGACAAAAGCTGTACACAAATGGCCCGCATCTCTCCTACTTTTGATGTAGTTTAGCATTCATTAACAATTCACTGTCACCTATACTATATTAGATATTTGAAGCAATACAGCTTGTAAGTAAATAATTGCCTTCTATCCTTCATGAACACTTAGAGAATAACCTAGAAGTTCAATTTCAGAGTATAAAAAAATGTATCTATGCATAAAAACTGACATCTACATTCCTGGGTACCATTCCTACAAAGGACACCAGCAGTACTCAACTATTCATTGGTTCTCACAACTTCATCTACATCAACAAAAAAATCTACATAGTTTTGGTGAAGGTATAGATAAACATGCTTGCAGACATACGTGATTTTTCCACAATATCCTATTTTAAAAAAAACCCAAACAATCAATCAAACAAACAAACAAATAATTTTTTTAAAATCAGTTCAGGGTTTACACATTGTAAAAGGAAAAACGTCCTATAAAAGTTATGATACATTTAGATGGTTAGGGAGCTGGTGCTCATGACCTGCAAAGGGATGCTCATATACAGGAGGGAGGTTGGTTTCTTCCCAGAGAAGACTAATGGTGGGGTGGAGAAGCAGAAGCCACTGCTGCCTTCAGCTTTCTGATGGGTGGTAAGAGAAAGGTGAGCTCAGATTCCTCCCAGCAATGTAGAGCAGAAGGATAAGAGGCAACAGCCAAAGGTTGCAGCAAGGGAAATTCCACCCTCCACCACGAGTTGGTCAGAGAGAGAGAAATGTCTGTCAAAATTAGAATACAGATGAGAGGGAGCAAGAACAGAGATGTGTAACTGCACAAATAGCAACTTTCATGTATATTGAACAGGATTTTTAGCAACTGCTGACTCTACCAACAATTTTTAGTTTTCAGTTTCCAGGACATTCTTGGTGCAGGCGTTAAGTACTTAATTGTATAGTCAATATTACATGGTCACCAACATGTAATCAGTTACATTATGCTTTATATAATAAAATTAATCTAATTATTTTCATATCCCCTCATCTCACTATTTCTCCTCAAGTGAATTTGGAACTGATAATGTGAATTGTTACCTAACCATGGGCAGCCAATGGCATTGTAGATCCTGATTTAGCTGGGTGCAGATAGTACTGCAGTATAATAAGTATCAAATTCTTATGAATCATAGGTTTTAAATGTTAAAAGCCAGTACTGTGACCATACATGGGGAGCAGATAGGAAGTGAATTTACAGAACCTGAGCGTATAAAACATCTACTTTTCAATAGTAGGAAGGTGGAAAGTATTTTGGAGAGGTGGGAAGGGAGACAGGGTAGCAAAGAGAGGTGGAAGAGCCCTTCAACCTTTCATCAAGGAGTTGAGAGAAAAAGGAGGGAGGACAAAACAGCAGAAAGAATCACAGCCACATACACAAATAGGGGAAGCAGTAGCTGAGAGGCTGCAGGGCTATTTTGTAACCTTTGGGAATACAGAACATAACCACACAACCGTGTATAGTTCTGCATGTAAAGCAAATTTTGCTATTGTACAAGGCAACAAATGTGGGGACTATCTGCCTAGCTTTTTGTGTGTGGCAGCACACGAACCTAGTGCAACTAGAGTTACCTAATTTTATTACATCCATGTTGTCGATCTTTAATGAAGCATATGTTGTTTGCCTAACAGATTTAGAGAGCTGCAATCTCAGTTACCACAAACTTTTATTACTGTTTTTATACTGTTATTTATGTCCAAACATGAATTAGAAGCCACCCTAAGCCTTACTTTAGCATATCTAGCTATTAGCAGCTGGCATTCTTTTCTCATTGAGAAGGAAGAATGAGTCAAACCTTCTTAGTTTTACAGTAAATTATTTTCCCCAGAGGAAGCATCTTTACCACTTTGTATCTCCTGTTCTTCTGAAGTATCAAATTTTCTTTCCTTTTTTTGTTTTAGATACCGCTGCTGCTTCACGTTTGAGAGGGGAGCTCCCTTTCTTTCTTGACCAAAAGTCACTCTCCAATGAGCACTCTATCAAGAAAAGCAACAATTTAATCAGGACAAAGAACATAAATTTTTTTTTTTTAAGTTATCTATTTATTACATTGCTACTGATAATGTTCTAAACTGAAAAAAAAAAAAAGGCAGAAGTAATCCAATGAACAGAAAGGATTTTATAAATAGGGGCACTGAGAGAAAAATTGTTTATTAGGAAGGCAACCCAATCACCTAAACTAGCATGCTTCATTCCACTTTTGTGCCTTATGCCAAAGCTAGGGTGCTGAGTATTCTTTGAATAATAAATACCTGTTCTAAAAAGCAGCTGGCATTCTTGCTTACTCATTCTCTGCTTACACACACACTCTGATGTGTGTACAGCTTGCTTTTCTTATAAATTTCCTCTTTATAAATAAAGTACCAGTGCAAATATATAAAAATCATATTTCAGTTATATTATGTTCAATTATCAATTTCTCATCTATTTGCATGACCTGTATAATGTCCTAACTGAAATAAAAGAAGTAAAAGAAAACCTTTCATTTAGGTGATTCTTCCGACAACCTACTATTTCCACAATGATCTGAACTCCAGGGAATAAAACCCTTCTTTAATTTAATACTCAAGCTTTAAACCCACAATTTGATTTAGTCACAGGTCAATGTTCTTTATTGAACTAAGGGAACTTATCCCTTATGTATATATCTGCCTTTTCTCCCATGATTATGTGGATCCATTTTATCCATTAATGCTGCCAAAGTGAATATATCACTTGTGCTATCACACACAAACATGCACACACAAATGAAGAAAGAAATTACATATATGTAAAAACTAATACTATATTCTGATGGCACTCAGAACATCAGCATCAACATGAGGTCTCTCCAAAATTTACAAAATACCACTGACTACCAATCCGTTATCTAACTGAAGCACCTGAACAGCTGAACATTTTCTATTTGACATGGTCATCTCCTCTCATTAATCTCTGTTAAATAAAATGTGAGATGGGGGTGTTCAGTGCACTATGATTTGAATATCTAATTCTGACATGTCATGAGTAGAAGCTGTGAAACTCTTGCCTTTGTTTTCTCCCAAGTTCCTTTGTAACTCTCATGTTTTTATAGTTCCAGGTGATTTATTTAAAATTTGAAGTTGTTTTAGAAGTATTTAGATTTTCTACAGTATGTATGAACTCTTTACCATCTACTAGTGAGCTATAGTGAACTTTTCTTGGGTATTCCCAACTGTTTACCCATTTCATGGCATTAACATCAAAATGCTTTTGCTGAGAGGAACTTTCTATTTTTTTTCTGATGCACACGAAACAATATAAACTTAGTAGGCTAGAAGACACCACCAGAAGAATTTCATTTCCATGTTTGCAAGTTAAACCTAGAAACATGACTCTCTTCCCTCTGACATACAACAAACACAGCTAATATATCTCAATTATAATCCCAGCTCTTCAGTTTACCAGCAGCTGTGGCCACTCCACAGCAAAATCAGTAATTTTAGAAGTGCCATATACAAAGTCAGTGGGTTATTTCAGAAATGCTGCAAATGTAGAAGTAAGGACCTAGAGAAGTATACAGAACTGGGCAATGAAAATACCTCCTCCAAATTAAGGTTACATTATAAAAGCTTTGATCAGTAAAGACATACTGATAACAAAGCTATCAAGAATAGAGGGCATTGCATTAAATTACATCAACACTTGCATAACAGATAACTAATATTGGATTTAGTTAATTTTGAGGTTATATATAACAGACATAACCTCTCTACATATTCACAAAAACCATAGGCCTTTACCTTTCCTAGAAGAAAATTGCAGGCTGTTTATTACACATCTTATATCATCTGAAAAACCTTGCAAATCACATCCAGAGAGGTTCTTCCATGAGCATAATTCTTCCATAAGCATAATTCATAATTCTAAAGGGAGAATTTGAAAATTATTCTGCGCTTTAATTACAGAGTGGCAAAGTGGTTGAGGCTGGAAAGGATCTCTAGAGGTCGTCTAGTCCTTCATCTTCTCTACACCCACCCTTCATGTATTTATGTACATTGATAAGATCCCCCTGAACCTGCTCTTTACCAGGCTGAACAGTCTCCGCTCTCTCAGCCTTTCCTCATAAGAGAAAGGCTCCAGTCCCTTCATCATCTTTGTGGCCCTTTGCTGGACTCTCTCCAGTATGTCCATGTCTCTTGTGTATGGGGAGCCCAGCACTGGACCCAACACTCCAGGTGTGGCCACACCAGTGCTGAGCAGAGGGGAAAGATCAACTCCCTTGACTTGCAGGCAATGCCTCTCCTAATGCAGCCCAGGATACCATAGGCTTTCTTTGCTGTGAGGGCACATTGTTGGCTCATGCTCAACTTGGTGCTCACCAGGATGCCCAGCTCCTTTTTTGCAATGCTGCTTTCCAGCTGGGTGGTCCCCAGCATGTACTGGTGCCTGTGATTGTTCCTCCCCAGGTGTAGGACTTTGCACTTCTCCTTGTTGAACTGCATGAAGTTCCTGTCAGCTCATTTCTTCAGCTGCCCAGGTCCCTCTGAATGGCAGCACAACCCTCCGGTGTTTCAGCCACTCCTCCCAGTTTCATGTCATCTGCAAACTTGCTGAGGGTACACTCTATGCCATCAACCAGATCATTAATGAGGATGTTAAACAGGACTGGAGCCAATACTGAACCCTGGGGTACACTGCTAGTCACTGGCCCCCAACTAGACCTCACACTACTGATCACTACCCTCTGGCCCTGGCCATTCATCCAGTTTTCAATCCACTTCTTCACTGTCTGCTTCTCCATCCTATACATCAACAGCTTCTCTGTGAGGATCTTGTGGGATACGGTGTCAAAGGCCTTACTGAAGTCCAGGTAGACAATATCCACTGCTGTCCCCTCATCTACCAAGACAGTAATTTCATTGTAGAAGTTCATCAAGTTGGTTAAGCGTGACTTGCCCTTGGTGAAGCCATGCTGACGACTACTGCTGACTTTCACATTGTTGATGTGCCTGGAAATGGTTTCCAGTATTAGTTGTTCCATCACCTTCCCAGGGATCGAGGTAAGGCTGACTGGCCTATCTTTCCCTGGGTCCTTCTTGCCCTTCTTGAAGATAGGAGTGACATTTGCTTTCCTCTGGTCCTTGGGAAGTTCCCATAGTTGCTATGATTGATCAAAGATTGTTGAGAGTGGCCTCACAGTGACATCTGCCAGCTCCCTCAGCACTTGGGAGTGCATCCCATCAGGGCCCATGGATGTACATATTTCCAGTTTGCTCAAGTATTCCCTGACCTGATCCTCTTCCACCAATGCCAAGTCCCTTCTAACCTCAACCATGCTGTGATGCTGTGATCTCTCCAAAAAGCCAGAGAGGCTCTCTTAAGTCATAAGAACACTACTTTCAGAGAAGTAAGCAGATCACAATTGTGTAGCAAAGGCCATGGCAAAAGGAGATCAAGAAGCAGAGGCAGCAATGATTACTACAGAAGAGAAAATGAGCAAAGGAAACACCGGCAGGGTTCTGCTTTTTGTACTGATGAGGTGGTTGAAGAGTGTACTTATAAGATGGCTGTGAGTGCCCCTGCAGGAAGAGGGTTCAATCTAATGTTCACTGTTTAAGGCAATCTACTAGTCCAGAACGAAGGATATAATCCTTTACTAAATGGAGAGGTCTGTAGAGCCAGAGGGGACCCTGCAGCAGATACTACTGCTCTGACAAAAGATGCAGATCAAGAAGTGGATCAAGCAACAGACCAAGGACCACTTCTGGAGGGATGAACAGAATGAAAAGTGAAAATCTTGATGGAAAAAGGAAATACAAAACTTGCCACCTGGAGAGCACAGTTGAGGAGCACGCAAGTCCAGCAAGAGAAAATGACCCCGAGAAAACTTTATCATAATTCAGTGACTGCTACACAGGTGAATGCAGCCTTTCAGGCTATCTAGCAAGTAGTGAGACAAAGCTTGAGAAAAAGAAAAAAAGGATGAGGAGTCCAAGTGTGGAGATAGTCTGTGAAGGAAAAGTGATGGACACAACAAGGCCTCCTAATAAGAAAAAGCAAAAGAAGAAACACTGGAAACATCACATAAGTAACTCAGCTCATTTCTTTATTTAGCCATTTTGCAGTTACTGCACCTGAAATAATCCATTCCAGCTTTGTTCCTTCTGGGTAGCTGAGTGTTTCTGATCACCCAGGGCTGTTTTACTGTGAACTGCCACAACATGGCAAAATATTTCCCAGCATTGCCTCCAAGCCTGCTTGCCAGCATTGCAGGCTGGAGCTGTGGCTTCGGGAAAGATGAAACTGGCAGAATTTCTCTCTCCTTTGGATTAGCTGCTTCTCTGCATGTCCAGGTGTGCCTCTTCAACACCCTCCGGAGACCAAGAGCTGCTTGTTGTCACTGGTCACTGGAAGTCCGAGGCAGAGCACTTGCAGTGTTAGGTATACCTCTGAACCAGAAAAATGATAGCAAATTCCATCAAAATAATAAAAAAGGCAAAGTGAATCTATGATACAGTGTGCTGCATTAATGCCTTTTTAATGGATGTGGCAAAAAAATACCAAATCCTGCAGATTGTTGAATATATGATTAAAGAATGCAAAGTCATGGATAAACGCTTTAATCAAAGTTCAAAAACTGTTCCCCAAATGAGTTGAAGTAACATGTATGGGAAGTGGCGATCAGACTGAAAGCATTGAAAGGATTCCGGCTGGTTTAGATCATGACTGGAGTAAGCCTACCTGCTACAAAGTAGTATTTTCCATGTGATCTGTGATGAGAAAAGTGCATTAACGAAGAAAGGACTTGCCTCTGAACAAGATTTTTATTTAATTCATCTACACATATACCTACAGAGACATGCAATGGCTTATCAGTACAGTAAAAAAAAAATAAAATGAAGGGAAAATGAATTGCTTAGGGTAGCACACTTGCATTAAAAATTTTGTCATCAAGCTGCCACAATTCAAGTAGTGTTTAAGAAGTCACAGTCATGAACTACAGACTTACCTTTTTAAAACAGTTATTTACTGGTAAATCAATGCAAAAATTAAAGCATTTATGACAGCTAGTAAATTATTCTGCAATGGTTATTTGTAGTACATGGACATGTCTATGAACCCTAGATGCTATTTTGGAAATTTGTAATTGAATTGATTCAATCCAGAGTGGTCTATCAGTTGGCAGTTCCACTGGAACCTGGGGCTCCTCCTTTGTTCTGACGAACCAGTACCAACTTTAACAAAGCAGAAGGTGGTTTGCTGGTAGACATTATCAGACAAACTGATAGAGTTGGAAAAATTAGATCACCTTTTGGGTGCTCAGACCTTGAAATCTGAAGAAGGGCTTGAGTGCCTTGAAGTTTGGCCAGTTCTTCGTATCATATCAGTTATTTAATAAAATGTATTACTTCTTCCAGCAGCCCATGTACCATCTTTTTCTTTAGACCATCATGTTTATGAGAAAGTATAATTCTGACAAAGGCACAAGGCAATAATGTAATTTAATAATAATCCAACAGTCACTTTTACAAATAAGATTAGCTGTTACATCTTAGATGTTTACTCAAGAAAAGGGTGAGTTCACCAAGAACAAAACTGTGATTCTAATCCCATCAACTGGCATTTGTAAACTGAAATTTAAAAGGCTGTTTTCTACATCATTTAAGTGCTTTCCATTTATGAACATCTGAAGAAGATGAAAACTTTCTTTTCCTCCCTGGCAATTTGCCGCGCTTCCACAGCGTATGCAGGGCCTGCTTATCATTTGTTTGGTGCTAGTTTGAAACACCTGTTTTGAAGAGGAATGCATACAGACTATGCAGATACAGCACAAGAAAACCTCAGTATCTGACTTACTAGCCATGACACCAATGAAAGACAGAAGAACAGTTCTTGCACCATCTGAAGCCTTTGTGTATATGCAGACATGCATGCATATACAAACACACAAACCAATACATTTGCACAATGGTAGGAGTCTATTTTTTCTCGGCAAGACTGGAACAGATTTAGTTTTAGCTGAATAGCGGCACAGGCATGCAACACATGTATGTAATACTCTATGGGGTTATATGCTGCATATTAATGCTGCACATAACAGAGCTACTGCACAGCTGCTGGGATTCGTGCTGGTCACAGGAGCTGTGAACCCCCTCCCAAATCATTATGTTCACAGTTACTTCAGCTTTACCCCATTTCATTTGCATTCACACTTGAAATGCAGACAGTTCATGCAGTGATCAATCAACTCCCAAATCCCCAGCCCAGGAAGGTGAACTGGTCTCCAAATCCAGTCATTCTGTTTTGTTTTGGAAGGACTGCTTCTGTCATTACAGGTACCCTGCTGATGTACTAATTCTTAACATGGTTAAAAATACATCAGGAGTTAGGAGGAGAAATACAGAAGAAATGCAACTCTTATGTGTCATCAATGAGATGATGCCACAGGATTTTTGAAGTTTAAGAAAACATGTCAGGATAGGCTCCAAGCAATAGATAGGAAGACTGTACAGAGTCTTGTAAGAAAAGGAGTAAAAGTTGGTAAATCCTTGTCAATATCACTTGGGAAGACAACGATTTTGTCCAAGTTCTGAAACAAAGCCCTATATTATTATAATCCACTCTTTGTGGGTTGTATTTTTGCAGGCACAGCACAATAATGCAGTGTGTTTCCATGAATAAATAAGGTAATTTCCCCTTCTCTCAAATGCCAGATTTTATAACATTGTAACCTTCTAAATAGGCAAATCAGGTCAAACTGGTATTATGTCATTCCCTCAGTACTGGCCAGGGCTATACTTGATCTTTTTAAACACTGAATAGAGAACTGTTCTGTAGACGACAAGAAAAGGCAATATTACATATTTTTCACAGCACATGTGTACCCAGTATTTATTGTGTATGTTTCAACAATTTGGGTCATTAGACTTTTGGCATGGTGCTAATGCCTGTTTGGGTCACCAACATGTGGTGGGAAACAAACCCAATGGTTTTCATTGATGGGGAATGCTGTTCTCCATGGAGAGCTCATCTCTCAGCAGATCAGCTCCTGTGCTTGGACAAGCATATTCTATCAAACCATTTTCAGCTTAATATGTTACCATACCAAGGTGGAAACTGCGGCGGCTGAAGACCCAACTGTGAGTTGAACCCCCTTCCTCCAGGAGAACCGAGTTCCACCAGGAGGGGCAGGCAGGGTGACAGCAGGGGTGGCAGGAGC